TGTGTTCATAATTAGCTAAATCAATAAAAAGAAATTGGTACACATTCCTCATAATTAAAGTACTTTTTTTTCTCTTTTATTAATTACCCTTGAATTTATTGATTGAGAATATGATTTCATAGTAGTCATAGTGTTTGTTGATTCTGCATAAAAATGGGATTCAAAAAGGTAATTTATTTTTTATATGATAAACACATGGTCACCTGAATATCATGTGGATATAACATCCCTGTAATTACCACTTTATTATATGAGATTCTGACAGTTATTTCTAAATAAGGGTCGAGCAATAGTTTCGTCTGAATTCGTAATGGCTTCTAAAATGTAAATTTAATGAAGATTGGAAAACTATGTCTCCTAAAAGTTCATAAATGTAAATAGAAGCTTATTTTAGCCTAAATTTTACAAGGTTTACGCTTATTAAAAAGGCTTAGCACAATAAGTTATTATTTTCTAGAAACATTCGCATTTCAATACATTAACTTGGGAAACATCACATTCGATAAGTTCATTTGCTAAGCGTAGGTATTTTTTCCTATGTATCAAGAAGCTTTGATTTATTGGTTTATCGTACTCGTAAGTTACTTCTAAAATTTGATTTTCCAGATTTATTTGTCTTTAATGCTCTCAAAATATACGAAAAAGAAACAGTGAGATATGTCTAGTAAATGTGGATATCTGAGGCAAATTTTCCTACAGTAATTAATATTGTCATGTAGAGTATTATATTAATTTTGTCATAATAATGAAATCCGAAAAACGTTTATGATGGCAATCACTAAATTTTAACCAACTAAAGTTAAAAATCGCGGTAAATATCGCTGTCATCACTCGTACATTTCTTTAGGTAAAGTATTCACAAAGTTAATTGGTTCAGTAAAAATGAGTGATGTAAGGTTACTGAGATAAATTAGAGTATTTCTTGATTGAGATCATGAACCGATTGATGTTAGACCACCATTGAAAACCTAGAGGCATTGAACGGCCGTCTCGTCCTATTTTGGGACTCCTCAGCAGTGCGCATCTACGATCCCGCTCGCGGGATTCGAACCCAGAGCCTTCAGTCTTGCGCGCGAACGCTTAACTTGCTGGACCACTGAGCCGGCATCTAACGATGTTAATGTCTAACCTCAACCAATATTTTTAGTAAGCTGACCTGATAATATAAACATCATTTAACTCTAATTTTATTTACACAGATTACATAATTTAAATCAACAAGAACGAAATGATCAATTGTTACACAAATTCTTCCTAGTTGCGTTGAAATGATTATATAATAACTTAATCCAAATGACGATGAAAATAACCATACAGAACAACAATTATAAAACATCCCGTTAAATATGCAATGCTATATACTGATTGAAAAGATATATCTGACATAAAGTGATTCACACTTTGCTGACACAATTAAACACGAGATGCAAATCACTAACTACTTATAAATCAATATAATTTATTGAACTTATTTAAACTGAACTTAATTATGTGATAATCATACTTCAAACGGTATCCTCAGGTGTGTTTTTTTCTAAATAGATAAAGCAAACAGAATTGATTATACATGATCTTACTTGCTCAACAAATGAAAACCGTCTGTATGGATGTAGTTAACGAACATAGGTTGGAAGACTAAGGAATCGTTTAATACGAAATCACAGAATGTTTTTTAAGCTATGAAAATCATACATTAAATACTTCATTTGTAAATCTTCCATCAACTATCATTTATAAACTTCATCGTTCTGTAATTTTTGTTGGTATTACAATTACTATCTGTTTACATCCTTGTTCTCTACAATTTAATCTTTTCAATCTTCTCCTGCCACATATTCCATTTCTGATTTATGTTACATACTACTTATTTTTATGTCAACATAAGTACCATACACCACATAGAAACCAAAATGATATTATCAATTTGAAACTATTATGTTTACTTCACCTCAAAATACATTTAACATATAAAATACCCGAAACATTTATGAAAAGAATACTAACAATCTCTATTAACTAAATAAAAAGTTATTTAATATTCATTCCTATTTATTTTTATTATATCTAACAACATTTAGAGTAGATAATATATAACCAATTTTAAATAGGCATTTTAAATAAAAGTAGAATGGCACTAATAACAACAATACATATTTCAGAAGAATAGTTAAAGTGTATCCAATGATAGGAACGGTTAGTTATCAATCATAGATTAATAAAAAATGTTTACATTTGATCCATGTGAACTTGATGATGATGATGATGATGATGAGACAAACTGTTTCTTGTTGGTCTAATAGTCTCTTTTGTTTAGAATGTAAATAAATACTTGTTTTGAATTCAAATATTACTTATACTGTTTGAATACAATACATCACCATGGTATTATTTATGTAAACGTGAATGAATCTTCATATTTAAACAGGTATGTTAATTTTATTTCAAATAAATAACACACAAACATTTGATGATAATATATACCATTGATTGATTACGATATTTACTTGTTGTGTCAAGTATAAAAACTGTTGGCATATCTTAAAAATAAAATTTAAATTATGCCTAAAGATGCTTATATGGTTCGCAATTTATTATTATTATTTATAATACTAATAAATGAAGGTATATAGTACAATTTTATTCATTTAAAAAAAACAATTTTCAAGACTCATTGGTACAGGCTTTAGATATGACATCGGAAAACTATTATCCAACTGATAAGTAAGTAATAATTCATAGACATAAATATCAATCTACTTATGAAGTTATCAAGGTAAGATATAAAAAAACTTTTTTTTGGTGTTTGATTTATTCTGCATTTTCAAAAAAATCTTCTGAACATTGGACAACTATAGAATTTTTCGAAGAGATATTATTGTATAAAGTATAACTAGTTTAAATGACATTTAGTAACATTGTTGTCTTATGATAAGGTTGTCTCATAAAAAGTGACTTTTTTGTAGTATTTTTTGTTTTAAATGTTATAGGTATACACTAACCATTGTTATCTAATACACTGAAAAGTATTTACAATACAATATATTTCATTTATGTTTAATATCAGAAAGAGGTTTTGTGAAGATTTTAGTAATTTAATAGTCATGAGTCAATTAAAGCTAGACTATCATGGAAAACCTGAAAGCACTTGAGGGCCAGTTCGTCCTAGTTTGGGACTCCCCGGCAGTGCGCACTCACGATCCCACCCGCGAGATTCGAACCCAGGATCTATCAATCTCTCGCATGAACGATTAACTTCTAGACCACTGAGCCGGCATCCAACAGTTTTAATGTCTAATCCCAACCAATCCGAGAAATTAAGCCACCACTGTGAGCACTGCTGAGGAATGCCATACTAGGACGAAACAGCCGTCCAGTGCTCCCAGGTTTTCCATGGTGGTCTAGCTTTAATTGACACATGGATTCAACTATTAAATTATGTTTAATATTTCAGTGCAAGTTTTACACTAATAAATAGAATCAGACCGTATCTAAGTTATTAATTATTGACTGATATAACTTCAGATTTCACGTGGCCTACATTGTGACTAGAACAGGTCAAATAAAATTGTGTTATGTCAAATCTATCATAATTGATGAGATAGTTATAGAGTGATAATGAGTGTAAAATTTTAATAAACAGCCACTATTCTGTTTGTCCTATCCTCACAAATATGAATGTTATCTGTGATTCACTAAGAAAGATTTCTACTACAATAGATCAAAAGAACTTTAAGGATAAATTAATGTTAAGAATGAGTGAGTCTCATTTGTTAATATTTGTAATGACTAATTTTTCAATGTTGTATTCAGTAATATACATGTTAACTGTAAAATATGTGGTGAAGATAAACTTTACTTGGATTCATCATGTTAAAGACTTACGTATACGTTACATAATAAGTGACCTTGATTTTTATTAAAATAATTTCAGTTAATGACAAATTATATGAAATTTCATTTATTATAGTGAGTGCTTACATGATCAATGTTATATACAGAACTGTGACAATCTATTGACAGGTAAGAATTTTTAATATAATATTTTTACTTTGGAAAATACTGTCTTCATTAAGGCTTTATTACACTGAAAGAATATCTTCTAATTGTAAACAAAAATTTGAATTAGACTGTGCGTTACTCGTTAATTTATTTAGTGAAAAATGAGATTTTGTGAAAATTGTTCATTGATCCTGATAACAATTAATTTCTTATGTTATGAAATGTTTATAGCTGTTTTCAACATAAACTAAGAAAAAATATCATTCAATGAGTCTATTCAGTGAAATGTTTTCAGTCATCTAGCCATTTAAAAATATTATTTCCCTTCTATTCTTATATATATATATAACTATACTAGTAATGAATATTTAACACAATACAATTGGGAAAATCATAGGATATAAAAGGTGTCCTATGAGTAAGTGCATCATACACTTTCTAACATCTTATATTATTCTACAGAATGTCTATCTTTTATTATGTAACTCTTTTGTATTAAATTAATGAAGTACTTTTTAATTTATTATATATTTGAAATGAATTTACAAACCCTAGTCTGCTCAAAGTTGGAAAAAAGCTCTTCCTAGTGTAAAATGTAAGTTGTTGACATAATGGAGTGTTGCTTTCGAAAAGTGAAGACAGTTTAATTATATAATAGTTATCATCTGCTTAAAAAAATAGTTCTCAAATGACATTTCGGTTTAAGTTCATATTACTGAGATAGTATACACATAAATCGTCTGACAACAAACATGTATTATCTTACTTACTGATGACTACAATAACTTATCTGAAGAATGTATGCTGGTTTATTTTTACTAACAAGTAGTAAGTATAATAAAACAATCGAAATCGGTAACTTTTTATACAATGAAAAAAATTTTATATTGTAAACTATAGATATCCCGAAATTCGTAACAAATACGTTCAAATTTCAACTTAAAAGGATGATACCACTTACTTCTGAAGAAATTATTGGTCAGTTGACACTAGTTAAATCGATGAATCCTTTCATATTATGCAGAAAACTTAAATTCACTTTGGAACATAACTCTTCTGGATTACCAATATATCTAGACAGCAGTACGGGTGTACTACGTGTAAGTCAATCATTATGGCAAAAACAAAAAGATAAAACACTATTACTAAATGTCACTGTAAAAAGTATTGATCATGATAAGTTTTCAGACAGTGCATTGGTTATTATCTCATGGAAAGATGAATACGTAAACGGAAACCATAACAACAAAACTGGTTATGATAGACGAGATCGCGTCCCTGAAGAGGATGAGAAACAAATGTCAAAATTAAAGATAGTTACACGTGTAAGTCAATGTAGTTTACCTGTTTTCATATTGCCTTATGTTTCCGTAACATAAAATAATCTAACCTGTATGTCCTTTAGAATTCAATTTCGGTGAGTTATACCATTACATACAACAGATATTTCTGTTAACGTTTTTTGGATAAAATGCTTTGAATATAGAATTACTTATTTTTACATTTTACTTATGTATGTATTACTCACTGTTAAATTTAATAAAGTCACTTATCGGATCACAATCTATTGAACTTGAATTAACCCGAGAGGACATCAAACCTACAGAGAATGTTTGTCATGGTCAAGCATGGTCAATTACTGCGAAGATTATATTCCCGCCTGGTAACCACAATGTTCATATTGAATTATTAGCACCAAGATACGTTAATGATGTTTGTGGCTACGTCAAATATTTTGGGGTTTCATTTATTGGTCACCATATAAAAATAGGTAAAATCAATTTAACTAAACTAAATCATCTTGGAACTACTCCTGATGATTCGGAGGTATATTTATCTTTATTTTAATGTTCTATGTAATATTGTTAAACTTGGAATTTACCTATTTTACTAAATTATTTCTAGTCAATGTATAGTAGTAATTTATAGTCATTTCAAAGTAAACTACCACTGTATACTAATTCATTTATTTGTTGGTTTACGTTGAACATAAACAATAATATGTAATTAGTAGTAGCTGTTCCATTCGGAATATGATTTTCATTTCAATATGTGATAAAACATTAATAATTTACTGATAAAAAGTTTGTGGCAGAACATTATTAAGAACAAGTACATATAAGTAAATCAAAGGATGGTACGATCATAAATAACAAAATGGAATTGTATGTATATAATCTTTGGTGACAACAATTAGTTCAACTAACAATAATAGAATAAAAGTATCTCGATAATGATATTAGAAGACGAAGATTATCAGAACTATGTGATATATTAGCGCAATACATTTCGAACAATCTGGTCACACATATACTTGTTAAGAGCATTTATATATAAAAATAAAAGGTCAACTAGACAGGAAACGGGGTAAGAGTAAACTTTAAATAATGACACATTTATCGTAATATTAACCATATTACAAAACTTCATTTCTAGATTGCTTGATTTAAACAATGAAAACTAACAATAACTTTTTTTACTGTCAAACTGATCAAAATATGCAGTAATAATGACTTGTTATCATAGTTGTTTACAAAGGTTTGGGAACTAGAGAGTGTACCAACGTCATGGAATGAGTCGATAGTTGTCCCTATCTTTAAAAAGGGTTCACGTCGTTCTTGTAACAACTATCGGGGGATAAGTTTACTTCCGATTGCGTCCAAGCTATTGGCTTCCGTCATTCTTCGTAGGTTGTTCAAAAGCCGAGAAAGATTGACTCGCGAGGAGCAGGCTGGGTTTCGTTCTGGTCGAGGATGTATTGATCATATCTTCACCCTCCGCCAAATGTTAGAACACCGCCATACTTTTCAAAGGCCAACAATCGTAGTGTTTCTTGACATCAGGGCTGCCTTCGATTCGTTGGATAGGACTGTTCTCTGGGATTGTCTATTGAAGAAGGGTGTGCCTGAGAAGTTTATTAACATCCTAAAAGCCCTGTATAAAAACACCTCAGGCAGAGTGAGGGCATACAACCACCTCTCTCCATTGTTCCATTCGAGCAGTGGGGTTAGGCAGGGTTGCCCAATCTCACCATTCCTCTTCAACTTTGCCATCGATGACATTCTGGAAACAGCTCTGATGAATGTAAGTAATGGTGGTGTGGATCTGTTGCCTGGAGAAAGACTTCTCGACCTTGAGTATGCGGACGATATTGTCTTACTGTGCAATAATGCCCAAGCCATGCAATCCGCACTTAATCAGTTGGCAATCAATGTCCGTAGGTATGGTATGTGCTTTGCACCTTCGAAGTGCAAAGTACTTCTACAAGACTGGCAGGATTCTAATCCTGTACTCACCCTGGACGGTGAGCAGATAGACGTAGTCGAGAAGTTCGTGTATCTGGGTAGCTGCATAAGTGCTGGTGGGGGTGTGAGTGATGAGATCAATGCACGTATAGTGAAAGCCAGAGCGGCTTATGCCAATCTGGGCTATCTATGGCGCCTTCGTGATGTTAGTCTGGCCGTAAAAGGTCGGATCTACAACGCATCGGTAAGAGCGGTTCTGCTATATGCTCGTGAAACCCGGTCTCTCCGAGTTGAGGACGTTAGATAACTTTCTGTGTTCGATCATCGTTGTCTCCGAAGGATTGCTGACATTCAGTGGCAACACCATGTCAGTAATGCAGAGGTTCGGCATCGTGTGTTCGGGCACAGAGATGATAACTCAATTGGTGTCACCATCTTGAAACACCGACTTCGGTGGCTTGGACATGTTCTCCGAATGTCGTCCCAGAGAATTCCACGTCGTGCATTATTTGCCGACTCTGGGACTGGTTGGAAGAAGCGGAGAGGTGGTCAGTGCATGACATGGTGTCGTGGCATGAAAGAAAGCTGCAAAGGACTGGCTTGTGTTGGTCCTTCACGACTCCCTGGCTGGGGTCCGAGAGATGGTGCTACACAGTGGCTAGAGACGTTATCAGATATGGCTCAGAATAGAAGCCAGTGGCGATCCTGCTGTAACCTTCTTTTACTTTCTTCATAAAAAGTGGTTGTGTCTCCTTTACCTGAAAGATTTCTTCTGATTGTACCTCTTCGTCATTACTCTCTTTTTCTTTTGCGTTCCTTAGTTTTTTTTCTTTCAACTTCTCTTCGAATTCCCATTGTTTTGTGTGGCGCATATATATTGGCGCTCTCTTGTACCAATATTCATGTGTTCAAATAAATAATAATAAAAATCATAGTTACTAAATTTTGTAAACAGTATATACATTTGTATAGATGTTGTGGAGATTATTAGGTTTTTTTGATTGAGATCATGAACCGATTGATGTTAAATCACCGTTGGAAACGTGGAAACACTGGACGGCCGTTTAGTGGATTGGTTGATGTTAGATACTAACACCGTTGGATGCCGGCTCAGTGGTCCGGTAGGTTAAGCGTTCGAGTGCAAGACTGAAGGCCTTGGGTTTGAATCCCGCGGGCAGGATCGTAGATGCGCACTGCTGAGGAGTCCCAAAATAGGACGAAACGGCCGTCCAGTGCTTCCAGATTTCCAACGGTAATTTTTATTGAGTCAGCTCCTCTACCTATAAGTATGTCTAAGGAAGTAAGCTTTTTGGTTTTTTTCTTCACAGAAAAAATGATATGGTTTTAAAGAGCGTCACGTTTATTCAATAAACAATTCATATCCTCCTTTTTATCACATAACTAGGATGTCATCTACACATCGTTTATAAAAGGATATATTTTTGATTAGTTCTTCAGCTAGATTTTCAACATGTACCATAAATATGCCATCTTGTTTTTATTTAATTTTAGCAACTTCAACAAATCATATTGGAATTTGAAAGCGTAGAAGTGGAAAAAGCAATAAGTTCAATACCCGATCCATTTAGTGTATATCTGAAATTTGCTGTGATAATGTTGGAAACTGTTAGTTTGCCTGTGGACGCAAAACTAAAAGCCGGTATTCTTTTGGGAACGAAGGACTTAATATTTATTGGTTCGCTCAGAATGATATATTCGAAGACATGTCCAACACTTCCAATTGAACTCAATATTTCCTCGTACCCAAAGAAGATGGTACCAACCGACATCACTGTTGTGACTGCGGATGTATTTTTACCAATCCTAAATGAAAACTACACTGTAAGTTATATTCTTCATATGGTAAAAATGCTTGTCATCTTATTTGCTTTTGGAAGCATCCTTTCCGGAAGACGTCTTTAGTTGTCCTCCAGCAGCACTGTAAAAAATAACGAGAGAATGAGAGCTGGCTATGAATAGTGAATGATAAAATTCGCATTTAAATGTTAGATACAATTTATGGTGTAGGTTATTTTTAGATTCATATAATTAACTTGAATTAATACATTTTACTTCAAGAACTACAAACTAGTAATTATTTCTGGGTGCTTAGACTGTACGAAAGGATGACTTCTGTAACTAATTAGAATTCAGAGCCAAACAGTATGCTTATGAGATAAACACAATACTGAAACTTACACTTATGCAAACATTGTACCATTATTATTGATATATTTTACAAGATTCCAAATTACTTGGAATAATACAACTAACCAGCGTACTTTTATGCATTTTCTCATCAGTAACTTAACAAAGGAACCATAGTTGACTGAATGACATGTTTTTGGAGTACTGTATTTTACAGTTATATAAGTTAATTATTACTGCATGCTATCGTGTCTATTACTTTCTACATAGAGGGGAGTGGTTAGCTATGTTTTAGCTATGAAAAGGTATTCATTTAAACCTATTATGCCTAATGATCACTGATGAAGTTATCCGATGATAAGTTTTCTATCGTTTGACATCGTTTGTAATGTTTTTTTTAATCAGTCGTTTTACAGTACGTAATGCTGGTAATCTCGTTCGTCTACGGGAACGAAATAAAATATAGCTGGTTCTAATATGAAACGTTATTTTGCTTTCTAAGACATTGTAATGAACGAGAACACAGATGGAGAGACAACGAATTGTACCTTGGTAAATATGAGAACCATACATCATTTTTCCTTCACATTCTGTGTGATTATTACGATTTACAATCCCTTTCTAAATCCGTTCCTCTTCCCATCAAGACAACATTTATAGTCTTCTGATCCCAGGGTTTCCCACTTCCGATTGGAGTGACATATTACTTATGTCGACAGATATAAGTAGCATTCACCACACAATCACTTATTAAAACTTAATATGTACACACTTTTCTAATCCATGCTTGATAAGCTTTAATTTTATTTAAACAAATAGAGATTAAACTTACATTATTCTATTTTGACGTTAACAAATATATTTCAACTTGTAGTTCTTCCATAGGTCTACTCATAATTATTCAATTAATCTGTTAGTACTATCATTAAAATAAAATCAATTAAAGAAACTGAAGAAAATGAAAAAGAAGTTATTATTTCCGTCATAATTTCTTTCTCTTCTGTGAAATATATTGTTTGAATCATGAAAGTAATTCTTTTGAAATGTGTGTAGAAATAGTTGATTTATAGATTTCTACCTGACTGGATTCGAATGTCTTATTGACTCGTGTATATAGATTGAATAATTTCATAATTTGCTTCCATTTAGCTCTGTGATAAGAACTATCTTTAGATGTATTAGGTATGTTAATGTCCACCAAGTCTGTTAAAGTAGGATGAAAGACAACTTTTAACAGAGCATGTTCAACTGATGTATTTTTACGTTCTCTGTACGTGCTCAGATGAATATAATTCATTTATAGTCTACTGTGCGTTTCATTAAATGATTTCCAGTTGATTATATCAAAATGATGTTTATAAGAAACTGAAAATACGTCTATTTCATGAAGGGAAAACTTACTTGCGTTGTTTCAATTTTCAAAGCGTTTACAAGAGAAAAAGATTATTGTGGCAAACTTAATAGTTGAACGAACATACTTTCTGTTTTTGGATTGTTTTCAAATCGGATGTGATTACAACAGTTTGCTATCGGTTTATATCTAGTAATCACTAATCTATAAATCATGTTAGTCCATGACATCACTGAGGCACATGCGAAGAGGATAGCTTATGAACAATGCGGTCTTATAAAAGAGCATCATATATTTAACAGGTTTCGTAAAACGCTTCTAAATATGCGTTAAACTCCTTGAAATCGGTTTACAAACACATTAGTTTCATCCAAATACTGACGATCTTAATATCTATGTTATAATATATTTAGTACATTTAACCGATGACGAAACTACTCTATAAGCTAATTAATCAAAGTGAATTTAATCCGAAATAATCTGAAAAACATTTAACATTACAAATGAATTTGTTAATTCATAACCAATAAATTACTGATCATTTCAGTAGTTCAGTCATTAAATTTCTCTTTGACTGAATATACAATATTTAGAGAGTATTTACACTCTTTTCAATGAAGTGTTGTTTAGATTTTGAAAACTTAGTAAATTCATGTTACAGATTCTTTTGTTATTCATGATATTTTTAGTTTTCAGTTTATTCAGTAGGTCAATCGGCAACAATCGCTTCATTGAATTTAGAAAAAGGTGAGGGATTCAATAAATATGAGGCTAAATCTATGATGAAAAGTACTCAAGAAGAAGTACTGAGTGATTCAATTATCACTAAAAGAATTGATATATTTGTCAAAGAACTGCGTAATACCTGTAAGCTGTTGTGTTTAGACTTTTACTTTCAAGGTGTATCCTCATTTTTTTGCTGCTCTCACATTCTAATTTTTGATTGATCATAATATTGAAAACAATTAATTTACATCTTTTGAGAGATCCAGGTTTTAGATCATAGGTGAATCACCCTCTGAAGCTGACCATTTTGTTTTTAAACAAATCAAGCAAATCAAGATTCTGCTGTTGTAGCTAAACAGTCAAAACAGAGGCACATTATAAAATGACGGCTATTAATTTAAATGTCTCAGGCAGATATTTTACATCTGGTTTCTTATCATTATTTCTAGCTAATTTTTTCACACGTATCCAAAATAACAAGTTGTCATTGATATTTTACCATACTCCGTCTGAAAATGATGGACAGCTTTTTAATGTTTCAGTTTGATTGAGTTATTAGGAACGTCCTCTCCTCAGTCTGTCTTGTGAAAATATATTAACACTACTTCCACCTGAGATCAATCCAAAGGTTCTTTTTCTAAATAAAACATCGATTATATCGGTCATATTTATTAGCAAACCACTGAGCCCCTAGATCGTTGATTTGACATTTTAGTTTTGAATACAGTGTTTTTTGTATATAACTGGAATATTTCTCAATATTTTAAATGTAGACGGACTTCTTTACCATGCTTCAAGAGAAAGCAAGACTGTTAAGTTGGTTGTTTATATACAAATATTGAATAAACCGTCAACTAGAGTGATAATTGGTTTTCGTATTCACGCTTCTAACAGAAAAGTTATCTATAAAGAATGTAATATACCCATTGTTGCAAATTCTAATGACAAGGGGAAGGTATGTCTCTTTTAGGTAATTTGTCATATCAAGAATTTTAACTCAAAACACTTCAAATAATGAATGAAAATCACGGAGTGTAGTTCATGGAAATAGGATAAATAGATTGATAATAAATAAATGACATAAATAAATGCAAAATACGAGATTTCGATGTGATTTTTATTACAATTATAAAATCATAATAAATAAGGATATGGATCGATTCATGGTGACCATATATGAATATTCGTAGTAGAATAAATCTAATACTTGAATTCTATAGAAATACGCACAAGTGAAAACCAACATTTCAATTGATATATCATAGTAACCATAAAATACCAAAGTGAACAGTGATCACTCACGGCTCCACTAGGGATCGAACTTGGGATTTTTAAACCTCAGGGAGAAAGCCTAAACGTCATAAACACCAGACTGACGTCTAACAGTACATATTTCAAACTTCAGTCGGTCCAAAATTAGGTAAAATAACCATTAAATTTTGACGAATCCTACACTAAGGGGAAACTGTTTTCCAGTGCCTTCAGATTTCCAATGGCACTGAAACAGATCACTCTGTGACGAATATCATTCACAAATAAGTAATTCCCATTAGGGTTTATTTATGAATTAATAATCCAGTTTTCCTGTTATCACGAATTGCACTCTATGATCTCTATTTATTATAGCAGTGTATTCTGACACAAAAATTATTTATCAATTCAAACTAGATTTTCTCATTATTTTATTAAAGAATTCAAATTCCTTGACATGAACCTAAGACATTTATACAGGACTAAATGCTAATCACTAAACATGAAAAGCAAACACCTAACGCTGTAAGGATTTATACGAAACTGAGAAAACATGCATTTTGTAAGGTTCTCAATCTCATCGTTGATATTAAGAACTGAATTTTTGCTAGTCTTTTCCTGGTATATGCGCACATTGAGCGGACTGTCTCGATACTACATTTGACACGTTTTAAAGTAAAGATACATAGCGACTAGCAAAGGGTGATAAGAAGCACAGCACGTCCTATTTAGAACTCATCATCAAGATGTATCGGGATTACGGTGTTTACAAAAATCCAGTGCCTTGCACTTCAAATGCCTATGGTGTTATCTATTAGCCTGCTGAGTGGGTACAGTTTAGAATTACATGATAAATGTACTGAGGGTCCTATAACACTTAAGAATATTTCACTGCCCTTTTTCTCTCTCTTCATTTGCATCCGGTGACCTGTAGAGGCTAGTATCCTCTATATCTGACTCCAATAAATAGTATCCCGTTAACTGAGTAATTAATGCAGGCTGAATTCCCTAGTAGAATTATGGATTTACTGGAGATTATTCAAAAGCCCGAACATCAGTTATAGAGATAGTTTATTGTTAACGATTGGTAAAATCCGCAAGTGTACACGAAGCAAGCACACAGGGAAAACAAGAGTGTGTGTGTGTTAAAAATCCATATATATTTTTGAGTGTTAATCAAGTATTAATAAATTATTGATTGTCTATGTATTACAACCAATGGGAGAATAGATTAAAAATTAACGTATGCTCAATCAGACTCACACAGAAAATTACATAGTGGATCAAATGTCTAAATTACTGTGAACAGATAAATAATAAAGTAGTGGGATGGGTTTACTACTACAGACCGACACTAAACTCTCAATAACTTTTGAATCTAATCAATATCCCTTAGTCATCTATATGTGCTTTGATTTATAACCGTATAAGTATGTATACAATCATATGCGTAATACTAAACATTTCACTTTCACAATTCTGTTAGTAACTTTTCGTATGATTGTTTAGTTTTGTCTATTAAATGGTTAAATAATTTAATCAATTAGTTTACTTTCAGTTGGTTGTAATGAGAATGCCTTATAGTTATTTGATTTATATTACGTTACTTTAATTTGATAAAAGTACTATAATTTTACCAGTCGTTTTTAGATGGACATTCATTATTTCGCAACAGTACAAAACAAATGATCTTTACACGTCGAACATATTATTGTAATTTTCTTATAACCTTACTGTTGAGAAGTACCGGAAAGAATTTAAACACCTATATTCAAATGGTTACTAACAAAATCATCATGTATGTTTTTTTAAATAATCAGTTTAACGAGATTGTTAGTAATCAACTAACCATTTGACCACTCTTTATGTGTGCAACAAAATAAATTAGCACAACAGTAATCATGTACTGATAATTATTAGGCATCTAACAAGAAGTTGATGAATTTGAACACTGGATAACAGACCTGAACTATAACTGAAACACTACTTTCTAGCTTAAATTAGATGATCCATATACTACTATTTAAAATTTTATGAATGACATTTTTAACTAATGATAATCTGAGTACCCATCGCTCTTTAACTCACCTTTATTTAAAAAAATTTGTTTATAGTTTCAGGCTTCATACATTGTAAACAATCATTCAGCTGAAGTTGAAACAGAAAAAGTTGGTGAAATTAACTTTAAAATCAGTTTTCCATCCAATTCAATGCAAACATATTCACTAAAACTAAAATTTAATAAGTTTATACTTGGGGAAATATGCTATGCAACTATTACAGATATTGGCACTGGAATTAGGCAAAGGATTATTGGTGTAAGTTATATGACATCATTTTTTTTATGAACCTAGTTATCTTTTATGACAATATCTATGTACATTTAAAACATTGTTTAAAACAAAAAGCAAAGTGAAAGCCATACGAATAAATAAAAAATCACAAAACGTCGACAAGTGATTCGCTATTGAGAGAACATTTACATATTAAATATGGGAAGAGAAAGATTTTACCTACAATGATGAATTAAGTTCAAACACTTTTTATATCTTTTATTTTATCACAAATTTGTAAGTTTCCTACAACTGGTTCTTTTGACAAAATTAAGTAAAACAAGCACGACAACAATTTATTGCATTTTGTGATTTCTCTTCAGCTTTTTTAAAGTATCTCATTTGCATATAAACATACATTCTCTTTACTAAATGACAAGTTTTTTTCTCAAGACATGTGATGAAAATCGTCTAAAAAGTTATCTAATAAACACAGAAGTATGATTTTACAATACATCGCTTGGATCTCCATAATTTATTGCCTTTAAGTTTAATTTGTCAAATCTAAGCATAGTTGATTACGGTAAATCTTAGGTTAAAAAAATTGTTACGTTTCCTACCATCAGGATTTGGTATCATTAAAATTCTACTGCAGAACACTTCACTGTGAAATTAATTATAAGACTCGATGTAGGTAAGATTTCAAATAATGGCCTACACTGATAATAGAAAGATATCATGACAGAATATAATTATCTGGAACCATTCATACCGTTTAGTGAAATACTTAATATACTGATTTAAGTTGGCATTAAATGCACTTTATTTATTGCGCAAATAAAAAGGTTATATGTTTTAAATTTTTTTGTTTCAGATGAGGCTGCACACAAGTTATTCAACGCATGGAATAAATAAATTAAGATCTGAAGCCACAGTTTATCTGGGATTAGTGGAAAACCCAACAGATGACACAACTAAACACTACATTACCTTAAATGTAAAAATAAAGCCCCATCAAGAGAAGAGTTTTCCTAATGTATTCACTACACAACTAATAACTGATTTTATTTTAAGTTCAGGTCAAAAAGAAACCTCATCATTGTCTTTTAAAGTTACTAATTCTAAGCCACAAGTTATTCCAGTAAGTTTTCGATAAAATAAATATGAGATATTTTAAATTGTTTTAAACTAGGACGACTCCTATACTTTAAGCTATTTCTGTAGAAATATACTCCATCTCTCTATGTTAGTTGCTAGTATGTTGATCCTAAAGTAAATCAAATCCGACTACCTCAAATGTTTTTTGATGAAGCAACCGACTAATTTGTCAAATATTTCTCGTATTTATTAATGATTATCGAAAAGCAGCAAAGATAGGTTATAAATGGTTCTGTCGAGGATTTAGTGATCATTAGTAATATTGGGAGGATTTTCGTTTTCGATGAATTTTCTATAATTAACTCTTAACTCAAGTAGGAAACCCAAGTTAGTGGATGTTAGTCATTTATTAAGGAAAGAATACTTGTCATTATATCCTCTGATTTATTCTATTCAGTCTACAATGGTAGATTACTTCATAATCTCGAGATGATTCTAAAATGAATGGAATCATTTTCTGAAACATTTAAGGCGGCAACTGACATGCACAGTTCTTCAACAGTAACCCTTAACGATGAAGCTCCAGAAAAATGAAGGAATGCTGAAAAAATCTTTATATTTCAGAGAAAACATATTAACTTGGAATAACACTCTATATGTAGTAACCGAACAGGACCTTATGATACGGAGTAATCGGAAAATTAAAAGTAAGAGAAAACATTGAGAATGTAACAAAGACCATGTAGAAATACGAATACAAAATTTGTGCACATGGCTGTGACTTAAAGAAAAATCTACTACTTATTCAGAAAACTAGATAACCTGAGTACCTCTTGCAAATACAAAATTATGTTAGTTATCATAAGGATAAGGGTCTTCAAAACGTATAGATTTATTTAGTTCGGTTTTGATATGATCTCGATTGCGATTATCAAAAAACGTTCCGAATAATTTAGACTGTAAGTAAATACTGTTATTAGTAACTGAACGAATTTTAAGTCATGTCCTATTCCCTCGCAGAATGATCGTGAGATTTTATGTTTCGTTTATGCTCAATATTGTTTAACACGAATGCAAATTTTTGAACCTGTATCCGGCACCCATAGATTTAAAGTCTAGAATTCAAGAATGAATTTAAACTTGATATGTCCATGTACAATATTTTAAACTATATTTTTAACGTATTTGTTGATAATTCTGGTTTTAGTCCCATAAAAGGCCTATAGCTGTCCTAACTGTTCTCAATCCAACAACAAATGTTCGTACAGAAAACTATTATACAACAGTGTTTGCCGTTATTACTTGGTCTGTGATGATTTTATACAGTCCAGTAAGCATAATTCTTCAAATATCTTCTCATGAATCGGAGCTAATCGAACAGCAATTTTGTTCAATAGGTAAAGCTTTAGAAACAGTTGTCCCAATTAATGCTGAAAAATCAATTAAAAAGTAATTGATAAAATTATAAAAATTTCAGTTTTAAAGATAAATATTTTATCTAATATTGAAGTAATTTCAATAGTTGAGATCATGAGTCGATTGAAGCTAGACCACCACGGAAAACCTGGAAGCAATCGACAGCCATTTTATCTTATTGTGGAACTCCTCAGCAGTGCACATCCACGATTTTGAGATGGTGGAGAAAAAAGCGTCCATCATCCCGCCTCGCGAGATTCGAATCCAGGACCTGTCAGTCTCGCGCGCGAGCGCTCAACCTCCAGACCACTGAGCCGGCCGGCATCCAACAGTGTTAATGTCTAACTCCAACTAATCCACGAAATTGAGCGACACATCCATCATTATTATCAGTAAGTTACTATTTCACAACAAACGCGGTTGAACTCCATTGGATGCCGGCTCAGTGGTCTAGTGGCTAAGCGCTCGCGCGCAAAAAATATGAACAAAATGAATAATAAGTTTTTCTGAATATGGAGAAAAATTTCATTGATAATTAAGCTTCATATTCGCATATACTGTGGAAATATCAGGCCTATGAATCTAGAGTCATTGATCATTTAATTAGCGTAAATTTTGAAAAAAAATTCTGAATTCGTTTCTCTTTACTTAGAATCCTTTCAAAGTTATCAACTTATTGATTGAAAGTAAGCCAAGGAAGGAACAAATCAACTTTCACATTTTTAGATGAATAAATCTCAAATCTTTCTAGTGGAAACCACATAACTAATTGAATACTTATTTGGAAACTAACAAGAATAGAAATTATTGTGTAGATGAAATCAAACTCATATAAGAATAATAAAAATGAATACAAATTTGCTTCTGCATACATGATTATCTGATCATGTTACAGTTGTTGAGGCTTCTGATTGGTTTTAACCTCCTTGATGGTTAACATGAATTGCAACATAATATTCATCATTTACTTCAATGTTCGTTCATCTTAAATGCGTATCTTAACTGAACGAAGTGTTCTTTAGATTGATTTTCATAGTAAAAAGACAATGTACAACAAAAAATCCAAAATAACAGTGGAGAAATATATATCAGAAATGAATTTATCATGCTTTGAAACTTAATTGAAGTGGACATGACGATACACCCTTTAGAGATGTACAGTGAATAGAAAAGCTTGATTGAAATATCATGATTAAACATTTTCAGTTCTTTACATGTAAATGACACTAGAATTAAGCACATTACATCTCATTTACCACTTGACCTATATTGTATCATCAGATGAACATTTTCATCAGCGATATTTCTGTCATTTTTTCAAAAATAAAGTCATTTGAGAATCAGCTAACTTTCATGACATTGTAATTTAATTCATTTCACTATCAGTAAATAACCTTTTTTATTGATTATCTGCCCATCACATTTCCACTCACGAGATGATTCTGACACACATGCGGTTTATGAATGAACATACCCAAATGAAAAGCATTATTATAATTAAAATTATCCATCAATTATGAAGATTTGATTTCTCGTATTCTAAAGTCAAGTTATTCTTATTCTAATGCCTATAAGCTCGGATTTAGACACACTTAACAACCTATATATTAAATCCACTTGATGTTGTTTGCTCGTATTTTCTCATCATTGTTTAGGACTGCAAGTAATCAGTCTCTTGTTACCATATGTGCATCTTGTGCGGATTGCCTCGATATTGTGTTAAGTCACAAGCTTTATAAACAAAGATGGATAGTGGCTATCAATGGAATCAAGGACGCGCATTTCGTCCTATTTTGAACGTGTCAACTGGATGTACCTGCATCCCAGAGTTGATGTTCACACTCGGACGTGAACCCAGTACCGTTCGCTTCAAACGCCATCGCATTATCTACTTAGCTACTAAGTGCTGGGGTAAACATCAAATCTCTGATGCAGGTCATCCAGCTAACGAGTCCCAAATAGAACGAAACGCGCGTCCTGGATTCTACTGCTAGCCACCATCCATCTTTGCCTATATATTAATGCTTGTAAATCTCTAGCGTAGATGAATTCAATATTTAATTTTCTAATTATTTCTCTCTTATTACTTGCAGTAATGTTGGACGTATTGAGCTACCTTCAGTTTATATACAATCATTTGGTAATTATACTAACGAAGAACGATCAATGACAATAAAATATGTAATACAAATCAATGAAATTAAGGATATTATACTAAGTCTTGATATTCTATTTAGTGGAGAAAAGATATCAAAAGAGATCACATTAGCACGTAAAACTGATACACCTCAATCTGCACTTGTAAGTTTTTTGAACTATTATTCATTCACAATAATCATATTTTCAAAATCTGAATTTCAGAATAAATTTATCTACTGCACCACACAAACAAGCAAAATTCATACTGTTAAGTAGATTGTTTTCCTCACCAATCTATCTATTACATTTTACAATTTGTTGACAATTAAGATAGAAAACAATTGTTATGAATAGTTATCGGATTTTATTTTTATTTTCCACCTGGAGTCTCTCCTGGGGCTACTGCCGGTCCCAAGCCTGGATAAAGGAGGAGAGTTGGGCAGGGGGTAGCTACCCCATCCCGTAAAAAACTAACTCGCTAAAGAACGCTAACCAGAAAAAATTATTCAAACCTTTTAAAATCTGCCTTAGGAGTCAGATGGTCTTCACTTAGAAGAGTTATGACACCTCATGATGAAAGCCAAGTTCCTTCGGAAGTTACGAGGCCGATGCCTCTTCTGACAACCAGAGAAACCATTTATTTAGGTACATGGAATACTCGTACAATGTAGGAGACTTGGAGAGTCTTCCAAATTGCTGCAGAAATGAGGAGATACAACCTAGAGCTGCTTGGGATCAGTGAATCTATTCCATTATCTTGATTCAAATCTGTCACATTAGACTTTTATGATCATCTTCATGAACGATAAAGTAATAAATGATAAATGTAGATTATTATAAATTTTTGCATAACACATGATTATTTCAATTAGATATGGTTACAGTTTGTATGATAAACATACGCTAAAAAAACGAATTACTTATTACGGTTTTCTAAATAAAATCATACTGAAGTGTATGTTTTATTTTGTTCAAGTTAAATTGTTTTTTGGTTTCACTTTTCTAGTCTTTAAATGAACAACCATCTGGACTACTGCAAAGTCTTCTAATTAGTCGTGCAGATAATTATCTTCATCCAGATTCATTCAGCATTATTATGGCAAGTGTAGTCATTTCTCCAAGTGCTAGACAACAATGCTCTATGAAAATTGAAACATCTAAAGTTCAGAGTGAAGTCAATTTTATTGATCCTAAAATTTTGGATACTGGTTTGGCAATAACATCTCATAAATTTCAATTTAATGTATCAAACAGCATAGTATATATAGGGATTGGTAATCAACAATTCGAAGGTGAGATGTTTGTTTCACAGCTTCTACAAAACTATATTCAGTAACTGGCTTATTTTGCAAACTATGAAGTATAATAAATAGATTTAATCAAGCATTCCTGTTTCTACGTAATTTCTAGCCAAGGATAAAAATTACTTACTTGATCTTTTGAAAGAAAACATGATTTCTTCCATGTGACAATATCCGTATAACTTTTGTTTTAATACGATTTTAGTTTGGTGTGGGTTCTGACTAATTAATTCATACATTTGAGACAATTTAGAGAAATAATAATATAGGTACTCGTAATATGAAAGCAAGTATTAACGCTATTGAAAATTAGTGTGTTTGTACTTCTTTGTATACATGTATAATGTTATTGAGATTGTAGTTCAACTTATATTCTTTTTAATCTGATCAATCAAATCCATCAACCATTAGGTATTTTGTCATACTCTATTTTCATTAATTCATAATTCTGGATAACTCTACGTAATTAAATTTATCAAGAAGGATCCATATAAGTTCATCAGGATCTCTTATTTGTCAAGTTTTTAAATTTTGAACCGTGAAATATCATAAACAAACTTTATAAACAGCCTAATATTTAATTCTTCTTGTAAAAAAGAAATTTATTTACTTATGAACCAAACATATGCAACTGATTTTCATTTTGAGCACTCGCAATTAGTCAGAAACTCATGAATAACAATTGTGTCACTAAATGCACATACGTTTATTCAGTTTTAAAACTCTTGACTATTTATTACCATTATAGACGAGTGGGTGATTTATATTTATTAAAATTCGCCATCTTTGTTAATCTATCAGTTTATGAGATGAAATAACTTTATGCCTAACACATGCTGTCATGATTTATGGGTATAATGGTTTCAATTAATTCCCTTATATAATCCTAAATGTGACAATGATTTGTGTAATTATACATAACTTATTCTTTGAAATTTTATACATCTTTGTATACATTAGATAATCAACAAGCAAATGGTGCGGTTACCAAAAACGAACCAACATCTATTAACATTATGATTCCGTTAAACATTACTTCCACCGTTTCTAATTCCATCGATCTGAAGCTTGTTTTATTTGGTGAAAAGCAAAATTATGAATTCCCATTTATGTTTAATATTGGTCCTTTGCAGGTAATTTTTAATTACTTTCGTTTCATCTATTTTTTCAGCGAACTGCCGAGAACACTGGTATGCATTTTACTAACAAAATTTTCTCCTTACGAACTTTATACAAAATTAACTGAACAAAGACATACAGGCACTCAGGAATTAAGAGATGTGATTGTCTCCTTACACCAAATATTACCATAGAATCTTCCAGCATATTAGAAAATAAAATAATTTATTTTAGATGTACAGATGAATGACATTATAAATTTAGTAAAAGTGCAAAGTTCTGTAGAAAGTAGATTCATCCCTCACAGTATCTGATACGAATATGTGTTCTCTAATGCAGAATATTCTTCCTCTTTTGATTCCCCGTTTACAGAATGCATTTAGATTAACGTAACTTTCGAAAATTTCTATTCTTCAGAAAAAACAACCGTGTTTTTTAATTTAGACTCGCTGAACCGAATAGTTAAATAGTATCAGTTTTATACACTTAATATGTTTTAAAAACATTTTTCATTAGACTATTCCACCTACTGCTCTCTTATCAATAACATATGAAATTGACGCCATAAACATTGATGAACAACCGGATCGTACCGATACGCCTCTTACTCCTGGTGAAATTGGACGAATTTACAATCGAATTTCTTTAAATTTACCGAAATGTGAAGAATATCAAATATCATTTTCTACCTTACCTAACTCTCCATGGCCAGTTGATATAATTGATATCCTTATTTTGGATGTTAGTAATTACATTTGGATTTCCGATTTGTCAGATTATCAAGTTATTAAATATAGTAGGTAAGTTAATACTCAAATAAGACTTCCATAATGTGAAAATATTTCGTGAAGAAAATGTTTTTTTCGACAGCAGAGTATATATACTAATTAGATTATAATTCTTTCAACATATGTGGGCCAATTAATTTGTAGGAGCTATAGTTCAAAGGAACTGACATCATTTGCAAAGAATTAGTGTTTATAGGAAATTTACAAGTTTTAAGACACAGTACATACAAATCGCTCAGATGAGTTATCCAAAAATTTGAAATGAATCCACTAGTTAAATAATGAATGATAGTTACCTTTGGGGTGACAATTATTTGTGCTAACAATTATTGCGAGATGGATACAGTTTAAGATCGGTACCTGTAGCCATCCAGTAACTTGTTGAATATAACATTATTTAGTGAAGTGTTAAGTTTTAAACTAAGATCTTAGTGAATATCGACCACGCGATGAATTTACATCTAGACAGTGGGTCCTGAATAGGACGAAACACTGATCTTGAGTTTCGATTCTGAAGTGTCTAAAGATGTGTTCAATTTCTGGAATTAATTTGATTTTTTTCCTTATTTAGACCTGGTTCACTTACAACTGATTTGGCTTCAGTCAAACTAATGATATGTGCTCCTGCTGGGTTCGGAAATGAGGTTAGTATCGTGTTTTTATAATTGTGCCCAAATTAACTAATGAATTTTTCAAAAGAATAAATTTTAAAACAACTTATTAAATAAAGTGATTCTTAGCGTGACTTACTGAACTATGTACTATTTACGAAGACTTAAGATTATTCACTATGTCTTAGTGAGAACTTAAAGTGATTAAATTCGAGCATGATCTAGTCATCTAAAAGAGGATGAACCCATAAAATGTCTCCATGATGAATTTTTCCATGCTTGCGATACTTAGAAGACAAAGTTAACGATCAATTCAATCTTAGTCAACGAATGCAATATTTGATCTCAAGTATAACAAGTTGAATGAGATTAATTAAAGTTTCGCTACGAAGTATTAAACCGTTAAGTTGTCTAAGAGTGGGGATTATAACTTTGAAAGGAGTAAAAAGAAAATGAGCGATTCATAAATGAATAGTTCTCATAACTTCAAAAAGTAGTCATGGAATTGTTGAAGTCTTAACGTGGTTTCAGAAATCTCTGGTATTTGGACTCTGAATGGTCATCGTTAGCTAAAGTAGTAAGTCTCGTAACTTGGGCATAAATCAAAAATGTCTTGTCAAAATGTTTAATTTATGTAGTGTTGTAAATGCTCGCTTAACAGATTAGATATAGAATAAATACCGTTATGATTCATTGCAATTAAATTTAGTTTCCTATAATCCATATTCAAAGATGTTCTTTGTTACAAAGCTGCCTATATCCAACAATGAAATTATATTTTCAATTCCTAAAAAGAAAGTAATCGTGAGAATACCGCGATGATCCACTAGTTTGGAGAATAAATCTTACCTCGATTAAGTCTAAAATGTCTGATATCACTTTTATATTAATCAATCATTCATTGTATATAGGTACGGGTTGATGTATTTATTCGCCCATGGATTCGAAACAATAATGAGAAATTAAAAAGTCAGCAAAGTGTTACAATCATTGGAAATGTAAAAATTAGCAGGATTAGCTCTGAATTTAATCTCACTTCATGTATATTTAACGTTTCTTCGGAGAAAAGTATGAAGCAATACATCCCTGAAAATAATAATATACCTTTAAATGCTAAACAGGTAATTTTCAAAATTTTTACAATGTTATCCTTTTAATTTTAAGCTGATAAAGACCGACTATCTATTAATTTTGTTGATGTTTCTCAGAAACCTTAATAGGTTACGCAATATGTATCGTACTGTAATGAGAATGAATAGACGAGGTACATTAGACAACCAGTGATTACAAGTTTATTTACTTCTGATTAGAATTCCTATTACAGATTTATAAATTTTTGGCAAAACAAAATTTATCTTAAACTTAATGAATTTATCAGAAGGGGTTTTATGGAGATTTTAGTAATTTCAATAGTTGAAATCATGAGTCAATTGAAGCTAGACAAAGATGTGATTTCTTGAATTATCTGTTTGTTCACATGTGCTTCTCATGAATAGCATTGTTTATTAAAAAAGTATGAATGTCACGGAGTTTGTTTATTCTTTACAAGTTTCACTAGATGCTAGTGCTTCCAGTGCATATAGTAATAAGTATATGAGAAATGTAAACTATCTCATTTAGTTTATAATATGCTGCTTCTTGTAATTCCCAATCCACAGTTATACTTTTTGTCATATATATTGACCAAAATGTGTGCAATCAAACTATGTTTAAATTAATTATCTACAATTTCATTACTGATGCAGTGAACGAAAACTCAAACGGGCTTTTGTAAAACATGAAAACCATACATTGAATAGATCATTTGCAGATCTTATATGCGTTGTTCCTTACCTACTCCATTATTTTTCTATTGTTATTTTGATTGATCTTCAATTTCCTTTCTATTCTCTTAAATTCAATCTTCTGCTGCCAGGTAATCCGTTTTCGACCGCGACTACATACTACTAATATCTGTCAACATAGGTAGCATAAACCACAGAATTACCGTTCAAATTCAAATAGAGATATTCGCTTCTCATCTACCTTTCCAGTTAAAACTAAAAACACTAAAGGCAAACACCTTGAAATTAAGTTCATTACAAAAAGAATTTTAACAGTCTCATCAACTAAATCTAGAATTCTTTTGTAATTTTTGTCCATGTGTTTGCTAGTTTAGTTTAATCCATATGATGTACTAATTGCAAACAACTAATTCAAAGTACCTAATCGACTAGTTTAGTTTTTATTACTTTGCATTAAATATAATGTTTACATCTTATCAATAAATTAAGCATCGTATTTTATTACTGAATTCACCCGAATTAAATAAAGATTCAGTAACAATGATTATAAAATCTATTATTGTTCTAAAGATCACTTCATGAACATTTCAGGAATGATTTAGAGCACAGATTTGGTACTTTTGATTTGATTATGTTCTTTGATCTAGATTATTGAATGAGATTCATTCAATATTGTTCTGAAAGATACCATCTGTTCTTACTTCAGCTTCGCATGTGAGTAAGTAAATAAATAATTTAGTTTAAAGAATATAACCAAGATATTTGATAAGTATCATTACCAAGGTTTGATTTGATAATTTCGAATAAATTGAGCATTGGGTAGATTGTTATAAATAAATAATATATATGATAAATAATATATCTCTGAAGAAGTGGCTTACACTGAGTCAAGAAACGTCAGAAAATCTAATTCTTCTACTCATTGGTATATTATAAATATATTATTTATTTACAAGATATTCGATGTTATACTACTTTCCACGATTTAAAGCAATTTGTCCCTTTGGCAAGTTTCGATAGTGTAATAAGAAGACGAAGATTATCAGAACTATGTGATATATTCGCGCAATGAATTTCGAGCAACCTGATCACACATATACTTGTTAAGAACATTTATTTATTAAAATAACAGGTCAACTAGACTGGAATTGGGGGTAATAGGAAACAAGGATAATAATAAGAGTAATAATAATAATAATGTGAACACAATTTAAAACCCAATCACTCTGGACAATAAGCCAATATTACCAGGGTAGGTTTAAGGTGAGAACAAACTGCTTTTGAATACACAAAGGGTATTTGAATTTTCGTATTGCTAAAGCTTCAATATTTCTTAGTATACGCCCTTTTACACTTTTATACAACACTACAAAAGCCAAGTTAAGATCAATCATATGGCCTATTTCGCTTATATGTTTAGCAATGGAGGATGATGAATGTTTATCCTCTACTCTTATTGGGTCACTTGATTGTATTTGTTTCTACAACCATTTTGGTACATTCACTTGATATTGTTTTACTTGAATCTTCCCATTGATGTTTTTGGACTGAAATTGATCAGTCTCTTATTGGCATATGTGCATACTGTGCGTATGCCTCGATATTGCCTTAATTTACAAGCGTTATAAGCAAAGATGGATAGTGGCTAGCAGTGGAATCCAGGACGCGCATTTCGTCCTGTTTGAGACTCGTCAGCTGGATGATCAATTTCAGTCCAAAAACATCAATGGGAAGATTCAAGTAAAACAATATCAAGTGAATTAAACTTCAACCCATTGCACAAGCAAGTGGCTATCAGGACTCAGTAGCTAAGTGGATAACGCGATGGCGTTTGAAGTGAACGGTACTGAGTTCGAGTCTTAGAGTGAACATCAACTCTGAGATGCAGGTAAATCCAGCTGACGAGTCCCAAACAGGACGAAACGCGCGTCCTGGATTCCACTGCTAGCCATTATCCATCTTTGCTCATTTTGGTACATGTTCACACGCCTTAATTTTCAGATCACGACTGCTCCTCCCTATGTATGTGTGACCACACGCATTTAAATCGGTAAACACAGTGAGATGTGACACAATCGTTTTCATGTCCCTTAAGTTTTGAATGAACCATGCACCTTGTCCTTCCTTTGATAATGACCTTTGCTGCACAATATGTCTTGTTAATGACTGATTTAAGCCTTTGTTTCTATAAAAGGCTGTTTGAATCACTTCTAAATGGTTAAGTGATGTAGAAAGGCATCTTTCCTACCAAGGCTACAGTAGGTCTCACTGTACCACGAGTGAATTTCAGAGGATAGCCATTTTCCATTAATGTTTTATTTAGCAACCTAACATTGTCATCAATGACGTCATTTGTACAAATACGATCAAGCCTTTTGAATAGGCACCCTATCAAACCTCGTTTGCATTGCACAGGGCAATAACTATAATAACTAAGGTATTGACCTGTCCACGATAGTTTTCTAAAAATGGATGGTTTGACTGGGCCATCTTCTCGTCTACTCAGAAGTATATCTAGGAAGGGAAGCTGATCGTTCTTCTCCTTTTCACATGAGAGACTGATATAGTTTTGGAGAGTGTTAAATTTATTCAACAAACAGTACATATCCTTATTTCTTTCACAAACAACTAAGATATCGTCCACATATTTCTTATAAAGTTACATGTTTTCGATTAGGTCATCAGCCAGATTTTCAACATGTCCCATGAACACATCTGCTAATAATGGTCCTAGCGGACTACCCATAGCAACCCCATCAATCTGGCGAAAGTATTCACTTTCAAAAGTGAACCCTATCCGAAAACGTTTATTTAAGTATCCTCTGAAGGTTTCTTTTGAATTAGTCGATCATTTAGGTGATATTAATATCAAGGAAAAGACAATGTTTGCATTTGATGGGAATTCCTTGTTCACAAATGTATCTTTGAAAAAGACTATTGATATATTATGTGACAACATATCTTTAAATAACATTAAATTACGTGTCCCTTTAAAAACTCTTAGATTTACTATTATTATGTACTGACAAAGTTCAGTTCATTATTGGTATTATTATATACATGTTCTTAACAAGTGTTTGTGTGATCAGATTGTTCGAAATGCATTGCGCTACTATATCACATAGTTCTGATAATCTTCGTCTTCTCATTACATTATCAAAACTTTTCACGATGTCGTGGAAATTGAAATATTCTAAGTAGACTGTATTTAATATTGTGGGAATAATGCTTATTTTCGGGTTTTATTCGAGCAACCCATTGATATTAATTTTGTTTGATCTTCCTTCTTCAGATACTTATCGTATCGGCTAATACAACGGACAACTTATCTCGAGGAGTAGGTGAAACCACTAAATTCACATTCTTTATTCAAATCCCAGAAAATTCTAAATTGCCAAGCTGTTCAGTTGTATTTAGGTCCGGCTATAGCAATATAAATAATGAGTCAGAATTGACTATTTTGAATGTAGATATAGAATATGGAAATGTTTTTCGAAACTCACAACGAGAGAAATTTAGAGTTGAATACACATCCAAGTATCTTAATGGACAGAATGATACAGCATCAGTTGATTTCGGCAATCTGGTCAACCCAAGTACGTTTTTTCGAAGTTGTTTGCTAATATCCGATGTGTTTTATCATTTATTTAAATTTTGATGATGTCACTGTTTCCACTGGAAGGTTTTTGTTAATGACATGTCGGAAATAAATCTAACTAATGGTTTTCTAAAATAGTATTCATATGAATAACGGACTGAGAGTGGGTAATTACGTTTCTACACCCAAGTATGTCCTCTTAATCAGTGTGAATTATTAGTGATGTTCAAAGAACGCTCATAGTACTGAGAGATACTTAATGAATAAGTAGGAACATAAGTCATCCGATGTCCTCATAGACGTTTGTAGTGATAACATTCTGGATTAGGATCGTAGTTGAAAATGTGACGGGGTCAAAATGTTTACTTTCTGTGACTATTTCTGACTAATGCCCCAATTTTTTATTCGGTTTGGTGCTTAGTCGCTGAATTATTTATTTTGTTCTCAATACAAAACTCTGTATGGTATTGATTTTATCTGATTGTGACCTTGACATGAATTCTCGCTGGGTTATGCAGCATGATTCTTTTGCAAACGTCCTGTATGGTATTTGCCAACTAACCCTGAAACACGGTTATTACATTTTGGGTAATATGCCGTATTTATGGAGGATAAATGATAATCATCACCAGTTTTTCCTTACTATTTTGTGAAGTCTAAATAACAATGTGTTCCTGTTTCAAGTATTCACCACTCATGGTTACAATAATTTTCAGATGGATGGGTTATCATTGATGAGATATGATAATACTTAATAGATAGCTATGTCATAAAATCTGCTTGAGAATACATGTATCGAAACGATAAAGTTGAACTATTTTCCATTAGTCATCAATAATATGAAAAATGGTTCACACCTTGCGACGTTGGCTTATTAGTTCACTAATTACATGTAAATGGTTTTTGAAATACAACATCAACTAATCTCATTAAGTTTACATGAAATTAACATAAGTTTTCGTCTTTTTTCCTTTTTAAAGGCAATTTCAATGAACACTCTAAAAGTATCATAAGAATTAATGTCATTGCTCGTGTGTCCGATAGCAGAGTGGTAAACAGTGGATCAAAAACAAAGTTAGGAATGACAGCAAAATTCGGAAGCTTGTCAGGAACTACAGAAGTTTTTCAAGTAATCAAAAGAAATGGAAATGAACGAGCAATCATTTCTATGAATTTACAGGAGATACATGAAATTGGAAAAGATAAACAATTGTATGTTCTGAGTATAGCTACAATCAACTGAAAAAACAATCAAACTAATAAACTTTTTGATCAGTTTTTTAGTGAGGTCTTTTTACATAACGATGTAATAGATTGTTTAAAGTCGACTTTTAAATGTTGGGTGATTTGACTTATCTACAAATGTTCAGTGTGGTATCAATCTTTTATAATTTTTTTGGTGGTTAGTAATATATTACGTTCACTGTTACTTAATGTACAATCGTCTGAGGCAACCGCCTATCAAATTCCAATAATCACAATAATATGAATGAGTTTACTTTGCAATACCAAACTGTAAGTCAAGTTATTCATCAGTTAATCAATAAGAATGAAGTCGAATTGTCATCTTACCAAACATATGATGGATAGCTAGAAATATAAGTTCATAATTTAAACTAATACTTGCCATATGTATCACAATAGACATAGATCATTCGAATTTATTATCTGCTCAAATTTCTGGCGTAAGTTATTCATTAAACTACTATGAAACGTTATGAGATAACATTTACCTAAAGTATAAATAAAAATAATATATTTGTAATATCCCAATGAGTAGAAAATTGGATTTTCTGACGTTTCGTGGCTTAGTGTAAGTCACTTCTTCAGAGAATAAATAACCAAATTAAATTAATCCAAGTTTAAATAGTACAACGGAACACTCATTGGGATATTACAAATATATTATTTTTATTTATAACAATCAACCCAATGCTCAATTTATTCGAAATTATCAAATCAAACCTTGGTAATGACACCTATTTACCTAAAGTATTCATTAGGAGCAAGAAAGAAATGAATTTGGCCACTGTCACAAACTGAGCAAATGGAATTTAATAGCAGCTATTCAGTTAACTATAATAAGACCCTAAATAACAATAAGCAATTCAAAGAAAACCAGCTATATTTATTAAAATGGATTATAACATCACCGTCCAGAAGCGTTAGTATAAACTACTTATTGCGTATAAGCATATGAAGTTTATAACTAAAAAATCTGTCTTGTTTTTTATTCAAATATTTTTATTATGTAAAGAAAAAGTATTGATAGCATTATAACTAATATTCTAAGTACTTTGTATTAAATACACATATCTTGGTTTATTATTATTACTACATCATTATTACTACAACACAGAATATAAAATTAATTCGAACTAATAGTCAATTATTTTATCAAAGAAAGATTATTTCATCTAAATTATGAAAACATTTGTGATGTTTTGTGAATATATGTGCATTTCAAAGAAGTTTTATGCAATCGGAGTTTCATAAAACCACTTTATCGAATGATAGTCTGCTGATTATCAGCAAAACGTTTACTGGAATACTTTGTTTCAGTTGTGAGTAGAGTGATTATTCACCACGAACATTAGATGGAATTTTTCATGAATTCTATGAAAGTAAAAAATTTATTTACCAGATTCCAGTTAACTGACTGTACACTGTGATTTCTACTTTAATTTATGGGTGCCCGAGTCTTGACCTCAGGTAATGAAATGAATGTGGTAATGTGAAGTTCAAAGTGATACTAATATCTCTTTAGTTTATTCTTGATTTTTACTTACTATTGTTTATGAGATGCTTAATCCAAGAAATTTTGTTACTATAACATTTTTGCTGACAGTTATGGTGAAGGGGATATACTTATATTAAATCTAGAAATGAAAATGGAACGAAACTCCTCTCTTGAATGTTCCAGGCATACACTGAATGTTTATCCTGGAGTGAGTGTGAAAAATGTAGACGTTTCACCGCTTCAGCCAAATCTATCATTCATGTACTACAAAGTGCCAAATACCAAACAGTCTGGCCCACTTGTATTTAAAGTGAGTTTAATAATATGTAATTTCTTAAACTTCACTTCATTGCCTAGGTAAGTGAAAAATTAAACGAATCCGATACATAGTGGTTTATTACAACAAAAATATTGAGGATAGTACAAGTATTTTGTGTTAACAAGTATACATTAATGTTTATCTTTCTGTATATACAACCTATCCAAACTTGATGATTACATGTGGTTTCAGGATACAGATAGAATCATATTACATACACTAATAGATACCAATCAACCGAAATTTCAGATAATGCCTATATTATTAATTAAATGTGAAGATGTGTTATGTTGATCCAAGAGGAGATCACTAAGATCTTTAAATGTATTAATTAAATGAATGTATATTATTGTTGAGGGTTATGGGGAGTAACAGACAAGATTTTTTCTTCTTATAAATGCATTTTTCAAAGATTGATATGGCGCTACTAGTTATACTCAGTCTCGTTTATTGAATTTATGTCCTTACACATAAAGAAGAATTCAACGATAAATTTGGTTAATGGACCGTGTGCAGACTTATGATTCAAATAGTTCAGTGTGTCAGCATTTGGATGATAAGAATTATAATATAGTCACTTTATTTTCTTTCAACTTACAGCGAAGAAACGCCAGTTTCTATCACTTACTTTTCTATCTTCGTTTTAAGCCTAACTCTGTCCGATATTTTGTTGACAGTGACCATCAATGGGTCTGTTGATATAACTTCCTATATTATCATAACTATATAACGAGAATAATCTCTTAAACGTTTTAATAAACTTACACTTGAAGAACGTAATACTTCAAGAAATTGGTCATTATTAAACATACATAGACTTGTGTATCCACATATTTTGACTAATTCTAATTTATTAGGATAATACTAAAGATGTGAGTGTATGTAACCTAACTATTCTTTCAGCTTTTCATTGTAATGAAGCTAGTTTTTTATTATGAGGGTTTCTGGATAAAAAACTCTTAGAATTCCATCGTACAATAACCGGGTAACGCTTTTGTATATCTTCAAGAACACTTTTTTTTACTTTCATCGAAATAGGGAAATTCCTTTCGCTTTGATAATGCAATCTCGGTCAAAATCTATGTCTACTTCAAAGACCAAATATTTTTACCATCACAAAAAAATACGGCAAAATATACTGTCGTCGCAGAGCTTGTTTGTATTTCCACAAACAGACCTCAACAAGTTAGCCCATACATCAGTAGATTTATGAGTAAAAGAACCCTTACACTTGCTAGCACAAATTTCATCAGTAAGTTATGTTATTTTTCTTGAGTTCATCTGAGTGCATTAAATTTTTCTAAGAATGTCGCGATTATATAATGTACAAAGTTTTAACAGTTTTGGAAATGTCAAATCAAATTTACAAATATTTGATATCTAAAGTTTTTTTCGGTTTAAATCATTTGTAATTTCTAACAACAATGTATTACTCCAGATGTGTGGAGAAGACCGATATTATAACACTGAAATGTAGTGTTTTCAAGTTGATTTTATGAACAGATTCATCTATTCCCATCTAAGATAAGTACGAAGAAAAACCCACAAGGTACCAATCAGTTCCACTATGTAAATTTCGGATCAAGTTCAATGATGACTCTACAAGCTCTAAGAATGAACATACGTTTGACGATAAATAACCATATTCCAAAAATTTTAATCGACGAGTATAGATTTAAAGAAATTCTGTAATTAGAAATTGGACACGGAATGACAAAATTCTAAATAATTTCAATTTTGAAAAGTAATAAATAGAGATCGGTTTAAACTTGAAACATGCTTGCATTATGCAGTCATTCAAAGAGCGAAAGATGCATTAAATAACCACGTGATATAAAGGTCTTGAATAAAATGTTCATAGCTAAACCGTATAATTTTTGTGCGTATAAAACTACTCATTATAATTCAACTCAATTTGTCCTCTTTGATTCCAGTAATGCCTTTAGTAAAAGAATAAATATTAGCGGAAAAATAATAAATACAACCCATTTATTGTTTAGTTAAAAAATAGTCGATGACTTTTTGAATTCTACTAAACTAATACCCACTGAAGAGTATTAGCACAATTCTAATCAATCTACAATAATTTAATGACACAAGTTTGAAAAATCTCCAAAATATAAAAAGATTCACTATGTAAACATTCAATTTACGTGTAAAAGTTGGGTAGTAGAAACTAATTTTCAAATACCAGTAGCTGATACTTGATTCTCGAAATTTTATCTGTGCGTCTAAGCCTTTATTTGTAAGCGATTTAATAGTTGGAATCATGAGTCAATTGAAGCTAGACCATCATGGCAAATCTGGAAGTACTGGACGACCGTTTCGTCTCAATATGGAACTCCCTAGCAGTACCCATCCAGGATCTTGTAAGCTAGACTCGAACGCAGGGCCCCAGGTCACGCGTATGAATGCTTAAACTCTAGACAATTAATTGTTCAGTGGGAGTACTGTCTTAAGTTAACACAACTATGATGTATGAAAATTATTCATTTACAATTACTGTACAAATGACATAATCGGAGTGAAAATCATATATTTTTGTTTAAATCAAATTCAGGGTGCTGGGAATTAAAATATGCAGCTTTATTTTTTTTTCAGTAAATAACTATTGTTGTCAACTCAGTGTAAATAATGTCGTATTGAAGTCTCTGGATTTTTTTCTCAAAAAATGTTCATTCAGTATAAACTTGGTCAATTGTAACTATACAACTTCATTACTTGTATTTACTTGGATGAAATTTTTTAAAAATGTATTAACTGTTTCACCAACTTTTATTTACCCGCAAAATAATAGAAATTAGTGTATCTATTGTTTACTTACTAGTTAATTAATTAACTAATAGAAATAATATTAAACATAAAAAAATTACACAGATTGAAATCATGAGTCAATTGAAGCTAGACCACCATAGAAAATCTGGAAGCACTGGACGGCCGTTTCATCCTATTGTGGGACTCCTCAGCAGTGCGCATCCACGATCCCGCCCCTCCCACGAGATTCAAACCCCGGACCTATCAGTCTCGCGCACGAGCGCTTAAACATTGCACCACTGGGTCGGCGCCCAACGGTGTTAATGTCTAACTTCAACCAATCTACGAAATTGCGCCACCGTACACCATTGTCTTCAGTGAGCTGATATCTCACAACAGACCTGGTTGAACTCCACTGGTAACGGCTTCCCACTAGAACTCCAGAAGTATCTCTTGAAGTCAGTCACTAGTGAGCAGTTGATTATTATCAGAAGGGGTTTGTGGAGATTTTAGAAATTTCATGGATTGAAATTATTAGTTCGACATTAACACCGTTGAATGCCAGCTCAGTGGTCTAGTTGGTTAAGCGCCTAGCACGAGATTAGTAGGTCCCAGGTTCGAATCCCTCGGGGTGCATGATCGTGGATGCGCACTGCTGAGGAGTCCCATACTAGGACGAAACGGCCGTCTAGTGCTTCCAGGTTTTTCATGGTGGTCTAGCTTCAACTGACTCGTGATTTCAATCTGTGAAATTTCTAAAATCTCCACAAACCCCTTCTGATAAAAAAATTAGTCGAGACTATAATTTATGGACGAGCCAATCGAAAGTGCTTGAGGGATTTCAAGGTCGCGGGGCTAATTTTAGTACCTGATACTCACGTACAATTGGGTCACAGCGGATTTTAGAGCAAATAGGATTACAAATAAGTTCCTTTATTTGTGATGATGGTAATCAAATGACTTGTGGACCTTGTGTAGACTGCCGTGACGACGTTGTCTGTCGATGTGACACATGTTGGACGAAGAAGTTCGCTAGAATAAGAACTTTTTTCCTTCGATTGAGATTGAGACTAAAGCAAATTATGATAATTGTTGCGAACTGTATACCAAAAGCAGCAGTAACGTTGACTGTAACATTCTCAGATGTTACTAAAGCTTCGGTTGTTAAGTGGTATGAGTATTGTAGAGATATATGCATAATAAAAATGACAAGCTTACACAACCAGAGGGCATACAAACAATACTGAAGTTATGTGGTCAAGGCTAAAAGAGTTTTCGTGATCTTATCATGGCTCCAGAGGCCTACTATTGTGGAGCCATATGGGTAAGTTCCTCTATCACATACACTACGAATTTAGAACCTCTGAACCTATTTCTAACCTTGACAAATTTTTGAACCACGTAAAAGAAGTGTATCCATTTTCTTTCTTTGGTTTTGTATAATATATTTTTACTCTATACTTACTGTTTTCTGACTGGCTAATATTTCTCGAGGTCACTTGAGCTTCATTTAACGGTCTTCCACAAATTATAATTTCGAAGGAAATTATTTGATGATACACATTCAAATAGTTGAAATCAAAGAAAAATTTCAGTAGACAGTCGTACAATTTTCTCATTCTATTCAAAACCACATTTTATATGGAATTAATACAACTTGTACATACTGAATCTTCAGTAGTAACAATACATCTGTACAAATTTAGACGTTTTTGCAAAAATAATTCCAATTTTCTGTATATTTACAGTTCAGTGTAAGATCTGTTAGTGAAATAATCAAAGATGATAACTTGTAATTCATTCCAGATATAAATTAGATATTTAAAATCGGAATATCTACCCAGTAGTACTGTAGTGAAGGAGAACACAGGTAAGGACAGCCGAATTATATTTAGCATAAAATTACAGATTTATGTGATAAAATAGAAAAATCGTACTCTAATACTTAATTTGCAAAATGTTCATTAATTGTCTCAGGCTTCATTGTTCCTGAATTTCTTAATCAATTGCTTTCTATTCCCGTCCTTCCCTTCTTAAACTTCTCAATCTTCTGTTGCCAGACATTATATTTCTGACTCGCGTTATATATTACTTATATCGATATAAGTAACACATACCACAGTATGATAATTAGACTACTAACAAACACCTTTATTCCCTACAAAGATCACTAGTTTCAATGGTAAAATTGTTCTGAAATCTCAATTATATATTTTCTAGAAAATACTCACACTTTGATAGTGCTCTTTTTTGTCTAGTAAATCTTAATAAAAACGAATTTCATTTCCTTTTTGTTATTAGATATTACAAGGAAAAAATGTGGTAATGTTGTAAAACTTACAGAAAAGCAAAATATTCATAATTGTTCAGTTAATTCATTGTCTACATTGAGCATACATGACACTGTAGGAGGATCACAATCAAATTCTCTTATTTCACATCAACCTATAACCATTCTCTTCGATCAATTAGTATATGTTAGTCAAATTAATCCTATTTCACTAGATTCAAATAATAAAATAAAAATATTAAATGTTTCAACAACTGCCGATGGAATATTATTTAAACACATTGTGACGGTAAGTCTAAATTAAATAAGTTTTTAACTACCAGGATCTATGTTTGTGACACCGTTTGTAAAATGGATATAATAGATTCCATTGACCATTAAATAGGAAAATAACACACTGAATGTATTTAATGACTGATCAACACAACTATTACAGATTTACATTTTAATCGTGATTTAAATTGCTTATTGGCACTATCACTATAGCAATGAGTAATACAAGAGTATGAGTCTTGTCAAAACTGTAGATACATCTTGTTGATGAGCCTCAAGTAGTCTCGAAACTTCGTAAACGGCTTTCAACCACTTATTTCAGCCACTTTGCATCGAAAATGAGCATATCAGTAAACTTTCTAGAGTTTCTAAATGATAATTTTTGGATGATTCGAGTGTTATATAAACAATCACTTAACACTTTCATAAATTAAATTTCATTTTAGATGAAGGAGAGTATAAAACAACCGTATATGGAAAATATATACTTTAATCCTCTACTTTCTACAAGAGGATTACATTTTATCACTATTGACGCTCAAGATAATACGCGAAATGCCAACTTTTCAGTTGAAGTTTATGGTTGTAGTGCTATTTGGGATCCTCTAAAGTTCGGTAAGTTGGAAGCTGCTGTTTCATTTTAGTCTTTATTCATGAATAACATATTTACAAGTGTTTTGACATTAATTTTTTACATCAATTTTCATACCGATAACACATTAAAACTTATTATCAACGAATATTTACATACAAAACATTGGGCTAACGCTTCATAAGGTAAAGTTAAATATGAGGATATTGTATAAAATGACTCTACATAAAACCCAAATCGTCAGTAAACACAAGTTGATATCAGTTAATAAATCCCTCAAAGAAAGATATAATGAAATGTCTTTTAACTTCTTTCTGAACTGTCAGATAATATGAAAATAAAGACTTTCTGCACTAGGAAGGACCTGACATACCTGACATTGATCACCACCCAGTGATCAATCAACTCTAACCAGAAGTCTTCTGTTGTTTAGTCCATAAGACATCAAATTATTTAATCTGTAGATTGTTACATAAACTTCTTTCAGTCATATACTTTTCTTCGTCACCTTCAGATCCTTGTTCAAAAAAATTTGTTGAAAAAAACAATGAAAACAAACCCTTAAAAACTATATTAATGACTAAAGAATTTATCTTCTATTGTGAAGTATCACCGCTGAAAATCAGAAACATTACGAATGAAAAGCATTGTTTTATGATTACAGGATCATTTCCAATTACTCTAACAGGTAGGCCATTTCTAACCTCCATATTATTATGATCATCATCAAATTTTGAAATTTATACTTGGTACACGTAACGTACATATTTTTTGCACATTTGTTCCAGACATGGGACATGAAATAAACGAAATTATAATGTTACTAAAACCAAGTAATGTTATCGTGGGAAGAAACAGTCGTAACAATAGTACACTTATAAGTGAGAATATGGGAAAGTCATGGATAGTTACAAATCAATGGAAATTGAAGAATATGTTGTCACAATCATCTGAGATTATTAATTCTTATGAAACTCCGTGGTTCAATATTCAAAATAAATCCTGTGATGACGTTACTATCAGTCTATGCAATCCAGGTGGTGATCCATGGAAATGTAAGTAGTCTGATTATTATGCAACAACTTGTTTAAATGAAATACAGATGTTACTGAAGAACGTCTAGACTACCAGTGATTATTAAATATGTGGTCTATGACAAAACAAAAACCAAGAAAAGCAATTAGAAAACCAAAGAAACACGAAGTACGAAAATAATTTAGCTATAACTAAGGAAAAAACTGCACCAGAGAACGGAAAAGTAGGAATGATTGATACTCTATATACATCTTCTGGATGGAAACGTGTTTACTTTGTAACTTGACTTTTTAAATGTCGCCTACATAATTTGTGTACTTATTTAGGCCTAAAAATGATATTTTTAACCAACAACATAATGAACATTGAACCGGTTTGTTTCATAAATACCTCAGAATTCCGGTATTAATCAGTATCTCAAAATAATCATCAAGGGTTCAATCACATTTTATGGTATTTATATTTTCATTTGATTTTGGTTGTTAGATCAGTTTATTCTGAAGAGATTAAACAAGCGAACCACATATCCTATAGACTTTTGGTATATTTACACTACTATTAGTAAATTTGGATCAATAATTCTATTTAATTACGAATAATACCTTATACATTTACTAATTTGGAATTTACAGATTATCTAAACAACTTGGTGTTTCTTTATTTCCAGTTTGTTACAGCGGTATATCATGGGGCAATCGACTGATCACAAATTGGAATGATCGCCATATAACTTAATAATTCAAACTTCGTTTCTTTTATATACATATTTCAACTAATAAATCAAGAATGATGTATTAAATATATGTCACGTTTTTATCAGTCTCATTTATAATCAAATAAATACCAGACTTTAGTTTCAATTGATTTCAGTTATTTGGATCTCGTTTTGATGCCCAGTATCTGACTTTAACTAAATCGGATGATAATTTTATCGCTACACACATCACAGCTACCCTCGTATATAGTTATCAACTTAAATCGCGTTAGTGAATAACGGAATTACATAAGCCAAATACGAGAATAGATTTTGAATGAGTATATTTCGTACACTGATTGATCTGAACAGACAATCAGAGGAATGAAACGGAGAAGGCGAGTGAGCCAACTCGTTTTGATCAAGCGTGATTCAATGCTTAGAGTCAGACAAAAATAAGTTACAAACACACAATGAATTGGGCAAGCAGTTAACACACATACGCTCATATAAAAACAGCCAATGTTGATAAGCGAGTAATTGACAAAATCAAAATGTTGCTCAAGAAGAATGAATAAATTGGTCTGTCCGGAACCTAGAATAACCCAGGTCGGTATGCCATTATAATAAACGTTACATCATGATTCTTACTGTTCCTGATATGATGTCGTATGTACCTAAGATTGTGGGTCTTGTGTAATAGATTCTGATAAAAATGCTATATAACATATATAAAACGATAATTCTTGATATTTTTTCGGTTTACGCATGGTAAATGCTAAACGAATGAACAATGGAGAAATCAAATGTGAATAGATCGTATGGCATATGGATTTCGGGTTAACAGCCAAATCGCTAAACGAAATAAGACTCAGCTTGTCCAGCCAAATAAACAATGAACAGAGATGGATAGCGACTAACATTGAAATCCAGGACGCGCGTTTCGTCCTACGTGAGACCTGAATATCAGAATTGATGTTTACTCCATATATTCTATATTACCTAAAATCATAATGTCTATATCGGGGCAATTCGCAGTGGATACCCATATACTACCCAAGGCTGGGCGAATTTTAGTCCAAATATAAACAACATAATAATGCATATCATTCCAAATTGAATGGATACCCATACCCGTTACAGAAGTGAGCGGCCATCTGAAATCAGTAACTACTTGGATGATTCTGTACTTGGTTCGAGTCCCGGAATAAGCATCAATTCAAACACAAACGCATCCAGCTGACATGTCCCAATTTGGACCAAATACGCGTTCTGGATTCCACTGACAGTCAAATTTGACCTATTGTAAATTAACTGAGAGAATATGTCTGTTATATGTTCCAAGTCATCTATGCATTATTATGCTTAAAAACAAGTCAGCATTGGAATGGTAAACACTAGTTTTAGTTATTTTAAGATTGTAATTAACTGAGTAATATTAGTTAACTTTGTAGAATTACAAAGATGCTCCTTCTCAAGCTTTGTTAGTTTTTAGGGCAAACGAGGGCAGAAATTAACTGTTGATAGTGTTTAATTAAGCAGTGATCAATAAAGCTTAAATAAATGTTGAAGAATCTATAGTCTTATTTTTAATAATCATTTGAATACTAGACAAATGATTTTTTCTATCTGAATTTCACATTCTGATAGGACAAATATTTGATTAGCACATTAAGTATATAGGCAATTAATATGAACCAGCATGTGAGTGTAAAAGTAAATCACATTATCTTAAACATTTTTATAGTGAAGGAAGGTAACATTGTCAAATTATAAAGATATTGGAGAATTTATTTATAAATGAATCATTAGTTGACCTGTTTTTATCCAGTGCATACCAAGGATTAATCTTTATTATAACTTTTTTAGTTTGTGTGTGTATAGTCAAGAATACTTTCAAAAAGACATTTTATAAAAAAGTGCTTGTATTTAATTCATTTGTGCGATCAAGTACAACGAGCTGATGGGTACCAAATAGAACGAAACACGCGTCCTGGTCGTCAAAATTAAGTATTATCATACTTTGTGCATTTTCAGCAGCTAATATGTTTCACAACAACAAAATCTTGTGTTAGCAAGAGTAAAATGCAAGTATATACTTTTATTACATCCACTCCAGTTCATGCGCATTTTATATGTATAATTCGAAATGTATTTTATAATTTCTTATAACTGTTTGAGAATAAACTAAGGTGAAAAGTTTTGTAAAGTGACTAATCACACACAAAAGGTTATTTACAATTTTCTCAGTTATTTTGTTATTTAGGATGTTAATATGATATCAAAAGATAGATTCAGTGTGAGACCATTCAATAACTGAATGTACGTTTATAAGATTTAATTGTTCAATAGGAAATACATCAGTTTCTTTGTTGTCTCAATAATAATCGATGAAATATTAAGAAGAGCACAATATTAGTAGTTAGAATTTTAGTTAATGAGGCATAACCGATCTATTATGAGAAGTGAATATTTTTTTATCAACAATACGACGTATACAGTGTAGGTATGTGTTATGACGCGTGGTGTCCAAGACTGATAATGATATACAAAATTCCTGTGCCAAAGTTCCCGACTGGATTTTCAGCCAGAGGAATTGCAGTGGAGGTAGTTTACTAGGATTAACCGATATATATATATATATATATATATATATATATACTACTTTCAGTGGTTAAGATCATGAGTCAGTTGAAGCTAGACCACCATGGAAAACCTGGAAGCACTGTTGTGAGATAGTCACTCACTGAAGACAATGGTGGATGTGTCGCTCAGTTTCGTGGATTAGTTGAAGTTAGACATTAACACCATTGGGTGCCGGCTCAGCGGTCTAGTGGTTAAGTGATCGCGCGCGAAACCAGTAGGTCCTGGGTTCGTATCTCTCAGGGGGCGAGGTCGTGGATGCGCACTTCTGAGGAGTCCCACAGTAGGACGAAACGGCCGTCCGGTGCTTCCAGGTTTTCCGTGGTGGTCTAGCTTCAGTTGACTAATGATCTTAACCATTGAAATTACTATAATATCCACAAAACCCATCTGATATATATATATATACCTTAGAAAATAAACCTATTTCTTGGTTAATAACATGCAGTTGCCATTAAAAGATTTTTGATTGTCAATTTTTGGTTTCTGTTTTATTCACTTTCGATTGACTCAGTGATTATATTATTCATTAACAATATAATCATCTAACTTATTCAGATGAATAATCTTTCAATACCAAGGTTTTGCAAAGTCAGATCTATACATAAATAAATACTAGTATCATAGTAAATTTCAAGAATTTTGATGTCTTTAAAAAATCATTCAAATAACGAATTGCTGATAAAATTTGGAATCGCACTCCAAAATTAGTTGTAAGAACATTCTAGTTGTAAAACAAAAAAATATTTTAGCGAGCAATAGTTTATGATGACTTCTTCAGACACTTCACTCACAAATCCATGACTAATATGATAAAACCATAGAATATTTTTGAGTCAGAATACTAACATATAAACAACGAATACTTTTAAGTTATTGTGCACAAATATCCAAAATGCTACTGGAATATTCTCAAAAAACTATATTTATCCAAACTTAAAATCTTTTAAACGCCATGTACAAAATGTTATCGATTCTATTTGTTCATGCATCCCGTTAATAAAATCCAATATTTCGCCAAGACCTCCTGTGTTATATGAGTTATCACCCGAAGAACACTATCCTTCCACCGAATATGTTATCAGAGTTACGGCAAAAACACGAAATTATCGAAGCACAACATAAATTTCCGAACAACCGTGAGAGATATGTGTTTAATCATTCTTCAGTATCCTTAACAAATGTACAATTAGAAGCCTCATCTCTACAAACAAAATTCTTTGACAAATTAAAAAACTAATAAAATTCACACACATGTTCAATTTGAGAATTTAATCAAACAAACAAATGATATTAGTACATTATCTGATCAAGTATCCCAACATTTCCAATCTACTGTTCTCGATAGCTGCAACCAGTATATTAGTATAAAGGTAACAGGTAAAATTCTTCGAGCGAAAGAACATAGAAACCAACCAAAACTACTTAGAAACAATAAAGACTTTTTATAATACGTCCAGATAAATGTGCATGAACTTCTATTTTAAGGTTGGTAGAGCTACAAACGTCTTAAAGAGGAGAATTCCCGAGTCTTTAAAAAGCACTTTCTTTGCAGCAGCGTTGCGAGTAGTATTCTCCAGCCGATTATTGTTTATCAATAATTTTAGGAATTAATTATCGCATCTGACCAACACAGTATGCATTTGCCAATTTTTATGCTTATGTGGAGCCAGATATATAGGTCGTTTGGTGCGTACTTTATCCAAACGAATTCAAGGACATTACCCGGCATGACCAAAATGCGGCGGAAACCGTTCAATAAGAAGTTCAATAATCGAACACCTTGTGAACACAGGTCATCCAGTCAAGACGAACTCTGAGTTCAAAGTCATCTACAAGGTAAGTTGAAGTCTGCCAATGGCAGTTATATTACATCTTGTTAACTTTACCGAAGTGATACGCATACGTTTGGGAAAACCAGAATTTTGTGTGCAAAAGTGGTCGGCACAACCTCTTCTTCCACCATGGTCTTAACGTCTCATCATTTCTTCCTTCATACTCTTCATCCTTTACAGTCATCTGATTCCCTTCCATCTTTTCCTTAAACCTTTTATGTCCAACTGGTTTATTTCTGTTTCTACGATCCTCCTGATTACATTTTATCTTATCATGCTGAGCCGTCCTTTCCCAATGATAATTTCCCTTACTATCTTCATGATGAATATTTAAACTCTCAACAACCAAACTATTATTAGTTTCCTTGATTAAAAAAAATTCTTTTAATAACTTTCTTTATTCTACCTCACTGTTAATATGTCTAACAAAAGTTTACTATCATTATAATGGCATTTTCAGAAGGGATTTTGTGGAAATTTTAGTAATTTCAATAGTTAAAATCATGAGTCAATTGAAGCTAGACCACCATGGAAAATCTGGATGCACTGGATGGCCGTTCCGT